CCACCAGGGATGGGCTGCTAACTTGTGAGTTTGGGATTGTTGGTCCACAGGTGTGACCATCAGGAGTGAAGATGGTACTGATTTTAAGAAGTGCACTGTGAATGTGCAGATGCCTTTGGTCCATAGAAATTGGACTACTAATCCATTTAGATGGGACTGCAGATCAAGCGGGATGAGTAATCCATGGGAATTGTCAGTGGAGATGGAGCACATGGTCAGTGGCAGCAGTGTCCAAAAACAGAGGAGACAAGAGTTTTGATCCTTGAAGGGAGCTAGTGGTTCATGGGTTGTTGATCTTTAGAGATGAAGCCACTGGTTCATGGAAATGGAGATACCGGTTTGAGAGAATCTGAAAGCCTTGGAGATCCATGATGATGGGACTATCAATTTATGAGGGGTGCTCTTGGGGCCATTTGGTGGCAGCCACAGGACCATGGGTTATTGAAGATGATGGTACCATTCTTTGGAGATAGTTATTGACTGGTCGGGGAGGGGCTACTAGACACAGATCAGGTCATTTGTTTATAAAGTTGAGCTATTGGTCAGTGGGAATGGGGCTGTTGAGATTTAGGAATTAACACTGACCTTTTAGAATGAGGCTACAGGGATGAAGTTAACAGTCTAGGTGGGGTACTAGCTAGTGGGGATAAGTCTGGTAACCCATAAAGGTGGTAAGGGAGATGGGTGATAAGGGCAAACGAGGAAGACAAGACTTTGGATCTGCGGAGACAGCACTTTTGGGTAGGGATGGGACTATTGCTTCGAGATGGGGCCAGTGATCCAAGAATGTGGGAGTACTGATCAGTGGGAACAGGTCAAATAGTCCACAGAGGAGGTTGCATCTTGTGCCAGAGGGGTATGAACTGTATTTCTTGATGGGGAGTGAAGATGAGACTAGGGTAGATCGTTAAGTACAAGTCCAGAGCAGACTGCAGAGTCCAGCCATGGTTCTCAGCCTCCTGCCAGCCCAGCTGCTTGGGCTGGCTTCCCCAGACCCCCTCCTCTCTACCCGCCCTGCCCCCATAGCAGCCCTCACCTGTCTGCAGGGTAACCCAGGAACAGGTAGCCAGAGGCAAAGCCCAAGATGAAGAGGATCTGCTCCAGGATCACCTGCCAGCCCAGGTCACACACCAGATCCCACTGGGGATGTGGAGAGGGTGCAGCGGGAGTGAGGTCCCGCCCTCGGTCGCCCCCAGCCCGCCACCGCCCCATGCCCACCTGGCCTGGCCACCTCACCTGGCCAATGGCGTTAGTGGTGAGCACGGGGAGCCCATTATAGTCCCAGTCCTTGAGGCAATGGGTGAAGTCCGGCGGGGCGAAGCCGCTGCACGCTGGGTCAGTGTTGGTGGCGACTCTGCTGGCCGCGCTCGCTGCTAGAGCCGCGCTGGCGGCGATGCTGACGCCACTAGCATTGGGGGGCTGCTCCCAGCCCGAGGCATTGGGGGGGAAGGCCCCATAGTGGCAGTGCAGTGGAGGCGCCAGCGTGAAGATGGGGTCCGAGGCCAAACCCAGAGCCACGAAGAGCACGGGCAGGCAACAGAGGCCGAGCTGCAGCTGCTGGCCGCCGCCCAGCGCCCCCACCTGGGCGAGCAGCGCCTCAAAGCTGAGGGGGCCTGGGGGCACGGCCAGCGACAGGCTGCTGCCCAGCGCGTCGCCGCCCGCGTCGCCCTCCCCCTCCCGCTCGCGCTCGCGCTCACCCTGCAGCTGCTCGGCGGGCACCGCGTCTCCGAGGGTCCCGACCTGCTGTGGGCGGGGAGGGGCAGAAGGGTGAAACAAGAGCGCCGCGGAGCCCACGGAGGGGGCGGACGGGCGCGGGAGGAGGCCATGGGGACAGTGGGGGCGCGCAGGAGGGCTCGGCCAGCGCGGCGGGGGAGGGTGTGGGGCGGACTGCGTCGCCCCCTGGGGGCGCGGGCACTTACTCCATTGGAGCCAGTGGTGATCTCTACGGTGCTGTCGATTTTGCTGCCACCCCCGCCATTGGGCTCGGGGGTCCCGGTGGCCACCCGGGGAGCCAGCTTGCCGACCGCAGGGGCCCTCCTGGCCCGCGCAGAAAGGATGCGCTGTCCTCTGGCCCAGCTGCGCGCCAGGTGCCCGGACACCGAGAGGCCGAAGAGACCCCGCTCTGCAGCTCTGCAGCTGCGGGCGCCTTCTCGGTCTCTGCGATCGCTGCGCTGCTTTCCCCTCCCCTTCCTCCAGACTCTCCTCCCCTTCCCACGTCAGCAGCGCCTTCGATCCAGACTCTTCGTCAGAGAGAAGAAGGGGGGGTCAGGGCCCAGGAGAGGGAGGGGCTGGGGGCTGTGTCGTCTTCTCCGTGGGTCTGCGAGCCATTGCGGTAAAAGAGGAAAAAATGCTGAAGGATAGTAGGTAGCTGAAGCTGCCTTCAGAGGTTCCTCCTTCGCTGCCAGTTCTTCCCCATCACCCATTCATCTCTGACATTTATTAAGTGCCTACTATGTTCCAAGCCTTGAGCTGGGCTTTTGTGCCAACCAGACCACCTTGGAGTTTACTTTCGGGCGGGCAGGCAGGCAACCATAGTGTGCTTAGCGTAGGGAGGCTCGGCACTGCACTCTACTGCAGGCCGCTACAGGGAGCTCCGGTCTCTGGGCTTCCACACCCCTATTCTGGCTGAACAGCCATCATTTTGTCAATTGCGTTTGGCGCTGTTGGCTGTCCCTTCCTTTCACCGCTTTCTTCCTTAGCTGCTGAGTCCCGCACTGCCCTGCTTGCTTCCTCCTGCTTTTCCACAGCAGGCACATTTTCCTCTTTCCTGCCATCAGGGCCTGCAGTGCTCAGGACTCGGTCTGAGGCCCTCCCTTCATTTTGTGCTTCTCTCCACCTCGGTGTCTCACCTGCCACGACCAGCATACACGCTGCACATCCGAGTCCCAGCTTTGTATTTTGGCTCCTGCCTGTTTTCTGAGCCCAGATCCACGAAGCAACCTTTGCTGAATCTCTTACTTTGGATGTCTGGAAGGGACTTCAAATTCAATGTGACTAAGACTAAACTCATGCTCTTCCCTCCTATAAGCTGGTTATCTCTCCTAGGGTTTCCTTCTGCAGGGAAGGAAGAAGCTATGACGAAGTACCCTGTGACAACTCTTGGAATTGCTTCTGTCAACTCCTTTACAACCACCTGTCCATTTTATTTCATGCATAGAGTGCTGAGAATCTGCTTCTCTTTTATCACTTGCACAGGCTAAGTGTGGTCTCCTAATCTGTGGCTGTTCTGTCTGCATTCACGTTGTTGCTACTCCTTCCCCATCTGCTACTTGTAGCGCAGATGGAGCCATCTTTTCAGAATGCAAGTCTGATTGTGTCCCTTTCCTGCTTACTGCCTTCACCAGTAGGTATTCTAATGATTCACACATGGCTCTGGATGCCTGCTCACATTCTCTCTGAAGTTGCATTTCACTTTTGATCCCAGGTTCTCTACCATCCAGCCACGTGGGTTTCTTTCACTATTTCCCACACCACAGGATGTTTGCACAAGAGGGTTTCTATGCCCAGAAGGCCTTTTAGTCAAATTGTGTTCATCCTTCAGAGAATCCTTCCCTAGGCCTACGACTGCTACTCCATGTGGCTGGTGGATGAACAGCATCCCCATCAACTGCTACTCCGTGTGGTTGGTGGATGAACAGCATCCCCATCACTTTCGAGGCTGCTAAAAATGCATAATCCTGGTTTCTCCCAGACCCTTCAGCCACAAGTTAGCTTTTATATCATCAAGCATATGTTCATTAGTTGGAGACACCTTTCTCTAATTCTAAGAGAATTGGTGCTTGATGGACACTTTATTTTGAATCCCAGGTAAGGGCTAGAAAGGAATGTCCTGTCAAGTGTCAGCTAGGGAGTCATTTCCCCTTTTCACCACTGAATTTCACCTTCAATATCTTGTCTCTTCAGTTGAGAAAATTCCCAGATACAAGAAATCTGTTTTCGGTGCATCAACTTCCTAGCACCTTCCCTCCTCCAACTCCTTTTAGTAGCTTCTTCTAGAATGACTCTGATCATAGCCAGTGCTCCTTGGGAATTCATTTGCCTGTATCCTGTTTTGGAGTAAGTTTTTAAAATTTTATCTGGTCCTAGACCATTCAATCCATGTTCTTGTTAGAACCTCACAACTTTGTAAGATCATTATCACATTAACACTAAGACAGGGCTCAGAGACTAATGTGATTTACTCAGACACATGCATGAGCTATCTGAGATTTGAACTGAAACCTGACTCCAATTCCAAGCTCCTTCTTCCCCACTCCTACTGGATCTTACCAACCACTCAGAGGAGCTCTACTGCCGACCTATACCACTAGTCCCTTCTGTTTTTTTCCTGACAGGTTGTCTCTAAATTGCTCAGGCTAAACTTGGAGTTATGATCCTCCTGCCTCCTGTAGCTGGGATAAAAGATGCATGCTGACACTCAACTCAGCTTATCTTTCAAAATTCTGTCTGAAAAACGGAAGATGGTCTTCAATACATAGGGGAGATTGTTCTTGCCCCCAAATCTTGAGAACTTCCGCCTTGAGAGTGCAGTGAGAAAGAAGCCCAAGATGCTAAGATTGTGGCTGGATTTTGAGGTGTCCCTGACCAGGTGATTCTTGGGAAGGCAGAACCTAATCTGGGTTTGCGGCTGACTACTTTCCTTGTGGTAAATGGCTGAGTGATCCCTCACATAGGCTATGGACCCTCACTTTCACACATCAAGGTCCTGAGGACTATGGACTTTAATCCATTGCACCTACCGCCACCTCAGCTTCCTCTTGTCCAGGAGGATGATCAATCTTCCTGGCTAACATCTTCCCTGCCCAGTGAGTCTCTTCACATTGCCTTGTAGATTTCCACCAACAGCAACTACTCAATCTGGTGAGTTTATTATTTTTTAAAACAACTGACTTGTTGATGTCCAGCCTACCTGGATGTAGGTACACGGAACACAGTCACTGTAATTCTGCCTGATGGCTCCCTTCCAGCAGAAGCCCAAGAATCAAGTCAGAGCATGAGAACTCAGGCTTTATTGAGGTGGATGCCCATGCTCAAGGCCCAGCTCTCCAATCTTCAGAGAGGAGGAACCTTCTGGCATCCCCAGACCTCCATTCTGGGTAATCCTTAGGTCTCTGTCCCCCCAACGATCACCAGTGTGGTGCTTAGTTCTGCAGCCAAGGAGAAGGATAAGAGGTTCTGTATGGCCCTAAGTTTCTGCCACCCAATTCTCTGAGCATCAAACTTGCAGAGGTGGAAGGCACCACAGTGACCTCTATGAGAGGCTGGAGAAGAAAATCCAGCTCTTTTCTGCCCCAACAAAGCAGGGAATAACATTAAATATAAATAATTTATATAAAATGGCTCGTACAAAAAGCAGTAGGAAGGGGGAGGACATGCCTGTCAGAGGCTGAGATGACCAGAAAGAGTAGAAAAGGGTAGACGCCTTCCCTTCCTAAAACAGAGCGCTCAATCATCCAAGCTTGGAGAGTGGCTCTGGCAGGCAGGGAAGGAAGGGAAGTTTGTGCCAATGCATGCTCAGGGAGCCAGACTCGTGAGCAGGGTGGTGAACTGCAGGGCCTGCCCTGATAGTTCGGCCACACATCGTGCCATCTCCTGGACTGCAGGACCAGACGGATAACCCAGCGCTGCCTCCTTGACAGCCAGCACAGTGGCCTGCAAGGCCTGGCCCAGAGCTGAGCCTACAGCTCCAACCTGTGCTCGCAGAGGAGCAGAGGACGCCAGCCGGGCCAGGGTGTCCCCAACAAACACCAGGTGGTGAGCAGTCACCACTACCCGCTTGCCATGGGGCACGAAGAGGCGTGGGGGCTGGTTGGCCTGGGTGCTGGACGTGAGGGTCGCCACCGCTGCCTGCAATGCTGAGTAGTGGCTCTGGCACTGGCCTGCGTAGAAGTGTAAGAGCTGTTGGTCTCCGGTGGACAGAACCAGTGGCTCCCCTGGGGCAAGGGCTTCCTGTGGAACAAGAGGAGGTAGTGGGAACATGCTCGTCAGTCCCTCTTCCTCCCTCCTGTCTCCTTTCCTTTATTCCCGAGGGCCCACCGAAAAGTTCAGATATTTGAATGGTGGGAAAAGTGGTCAGAGTTACATTCAAATAGCATCAAACTTGACTTCAGAGAAATGTAAATTTCTTTGGTTCCTTATCTCAAAAAACATGGAACCTGGGCCTAGTCTACAGGCAGTGGTAGAGCATATGCTTATTAGCACAACGGAGGCCCCAGATTGCATCTCTAGCACAGTGACAAAAATAAATAAATAAATAAACCGAAACAAGCAAACCACTCGTGAAATTTTAAACTTTTTAGTAGCCACATTAAGTAAAAAGAAACTAATACATATTTTATTTAACTAACATAACAAATATAAAAGTTAGTACTTTCTACATATAACAATTTTTTCATATTCAGCCTGCAAAATCTCATGTGCCTTTTCTATTTAGAGCACATTTCAATTCAGATTGTATCTGATGACCCCTAGTCCAGCTACATCTCGAGGGCTCTGTAGTCACAGGTGGCAACTCTACCACAAAAGGCAGGATTTTGTTTTGCTTTGTATTGGAGACAGGATCTCACTAGTAGTTTAGAATGTCCCTTGAATTCACTATGTAGCCTAGGCTGGCCTCAAACTCAAGGTGATCCTCCTGCTCAGCCTCCCAAAGGTTGGGATTACAAGAGTGCGCCACCACACCTGGCCAGGACAATGCAATTCTAGTATGGCCTCAGAAAGTGGTAGTGGACACCTATATAACACAGGAAAGGGACTCGGCACAGTACACTGCACTCGATGAGAACCCTGGCAGCAATTGCGGTGGTTGTGCTGGATGTTGGTGCATGCAGTGCCTGCCACAGGGTCTGGCAGGTGGTAAATGCTTGGTGTGCTATGATCATTATGTGCTTGGTTAGGAAACTACCTCACTTTCCTGAGGCCTAGAGAGTTAAATGATTGCTTTGAAACTAGTGGCGTCTTAGTAGTGGATCTGGGATTAGCAGCTGGGTCTCTTAGGAACCCAGGAATTCATAATTGGAAGGAGCTATTCAGTTGAAAGGAGGTTTAGAAGTCACTTGGCCCAGCTGTGACCCCCAGTCCAGAAACTCTCTGCTCCCCTGTCGGCTTTCTGATTCTGTGCCAACACATTCTTTTCTCCTTTCTAAATTCCTAATATCCTTTTCCAAGTTCCAGTACCCTCTTGTTAAGAGTCTCATTCCTCTCTGTGTTTTGTGTAAACTCTTACCCTAACCTGCTTTTTTCAAGGTCTGGCTAAGAAGACTCCTTACCCAGCCCCTTTTGTTCACCCCCTGCACCAGGCTTACCTGCTGCTCTGGCAAGCCCCTCTCCAGCGGTTCAGGATCCTCTGGAGAGGCTTTATCCAGGGTCCTAGATTCCTGAGCTTTATCCATGCCCTGCAGAGGGGTTCAGATCTCAGTGCAAGGGTCAGGGTGGGGAGCCTCATGGTCTTTCTGTCTCTCTCCAGCCCCCCTTCCTGAGGGTGTCACCAGAAGTTGCAGTCCCTTAACTCCAGGTGTAAGATAGCTCTGGGGGGCCCGGGATTGGTTTAGGGGAGAGTGTGGCATTATTAGCACAAGTGGTGTGGCTGAGGGTCCCGGGCTGCAGGGTGGAGGGAAAAAAAGGCTCTGAGATCTTCACCTCCATTCTCCTGGTGCATTTCTGGCAGGCTTCCGATGGGGCTGCCAGGGGAGAAGCTCACCTTCAGGTGGACATAGTCGTATTCCTCCGCCACTGGGATGCCTTCATACTCATTGTGGAGTCCTGCTGGATCGTCCTCCACCTCTCTGCTCTCCGGATTATCCTCCACCTTGAGGCCTCCATAGCCAGGAAGGCGGGGTGGAGGTGGGGGTAGAGGCCGGTCCTGGATACTACCCTTGCGGCCTGGAGCAGGAGAGGGAGCCGGAGAGGGGCTGGGAGGCTCAGGAACAGGCAGGGCAGGCAGAGGGCGACGGGACAGGCTTTCAGCAGAGGGCAGCCGGGGCCTGTGGGGAGGTGGGGGGCTTCTGGGCAGAAGCCCAGCCAGGGTGTCCAGATCACTGGAGGCTGAGGCTCCTGGGGGCTCTGGAGAAGGGGGTGCCTCGGGCACCAGCAGGGGTACATCGTAGATGCCCTCATCAGTGTCTCTGCCCTCTCCATTTGTAAGTTCCTCAGGTGCTTCATACAAGTTGAGGAGTGCTGATGCCCGTTTTAGGTTGGAGGGGGCAGCATAGAGGGGTGGCTCTGGTTCCCGACCCCCTTCCCATTCCAGATCTGGCTCCAGCTCTGAGGGTAGCTTTGGGGCCAGAGGCACATCATAGGTAGCATCATCCTCTCCAGGAGGCTGAGGGGCAAACCAAGCCAGAGATCGGGAAAATGAGGCTGGAGAGTCATAGGGGTCACTGGAGGGAGTCCGGAGGGCAGTGGAGGGCACATCATAGACCTAGAGAGAGATCAGGAAGTTACCCTTTGGCCTAGAAGTGCACCATCCCTTACACAGCAACCACACAGGCCTGTAGCCCTCACCTCCAGGGTATCTCCAGGTGGGGTTCCACTGCCTCTGGGGACCTTGTAGATGGGATCAAAGGATGGCGGGCAGGATCCAGACAGAGGTCCTGTGGCAGGACAGGGCCGAGCTGGGGGTGGCACCACATACACCTAGAGTTAAAACGGGTGGGTAGATCAGGAGTGGGGTGAGGGCAGTGAACCAGATGACATCAGACTTGGAGAAGCTCTGAGATCTTCCATCCCCTGCTGACAGGGACACAAGGTTGAAGAAGAGGTGGGAGATAGTTTCTGCCAACTGAATGGAAAGCCACAGCCCTGAGGATCCCCTGCCTGTCTTGCTGCAGGTCCCCACTGAAGGACACATGCTCTCCTGGCTTAGGGTTGGGAGACTCCAGCGCTCACCTCTTGCTCCCTATTGTCAGGCTCCAGGGCTGGGTGTGGTAAGCTGGGCTCGGTGGGAAGTGCCAGGGCAAGGTTGGGTTTGGGTGCTGGGCCAGCAGGGAGGAGCTTCACTCTGTTGGCGGGCACAATGCCTTGCTGGCCATGCAGGGAGCAGAGGCACCAGCCATCTAGTCCGCCAGCGCCCTCCTTCTGCAGGACCCGTAGAACATCCCCTCGGCGGAAGGACAGCTCTTGGGGTGACTCTGCGGTGTTGTCATACAGTGCCCGGGCCAGCTGGGCCTGGAGGGTGAAGGGGAGGTGAGCATAAGGATCTTCACACGCTGCAGGTCCTGCCAAGCCGCCCATTTCCTTAAGCTGAAAATCTCACTCCTGACTTGGCTGCTCCTTCTGGCCCTGCCCTGCCTCTAGCTGCATCTCCTGTGCTCTCCTTTCCATTCTTGGAAGGAGCGCCTTCTGACTTCAGGACCTTAGCACTATTTTCCCTACTCACAATTTTATATATTAGACCCCTTTATCCTTCCGCTTAAATGCCTCCTCCTGAGAAGGGGCTTTTCCTCATTCCTTTTTCCCACCCCATTCTCCCTGTATCTCTACCCATTGGTCCTTTCATAATACCTTTATCATCAGTTTCTCCTCTTGCACTTTAAACAGGGAATGCTGCATTTCTAGCCCCTGCAAGAGGGTCTCACCCAAAATGATCCTCATACACATTTGTTGAATTAATTTCTCACAATGTACAAGACATTTCATTGAATCTCCTTTCCTTCCCTCTATTTCCTAGTTACTACCCCATCATAAGCAAAAGGTTAGATTAAGCGGCTGGATTCCAAGGCAAAAAGCTTTGTCCTGAGCACCTAGACATAAGAAAACTGAAACTGAAGCAATTGTTTTGTTCTTTGCCTGAGCAAATAATGTTCTGCCAGGAGAGGCTGAGGTTCCTGGAGAAAAGTATGTTAGCGCAGTGGTGGTGAATCTGTGGTCTGCATGCTGCATCGGGCTCTTTGTTATCATTGAAAGCTCTAAAAGGTTCACCACCACTGCTCTAGTGTATGGAGGGGGAATGTTTATGTGCTCTAGGGTATGGTAGATCGATGGGGGTAAAAATCACCATCTTGTCCCCACTACCTCAAGGAAGCACATAAACTTTCTGACATCAAGGGCCATATGCTCAGGTAACAAGTCAGAGATGCCAAGTTCATCAAAATGATGTTTCCAGACACCGAGCAAATTAACAATATGCACTAATTCAGTAAAGTATCCCAAGCTAAAGATTTTAGCCAGGCTGGCTCACCAGAGAAGCACTTATTCCACTGAGCCATCTCACCAGCCCCTGGAAGGCAGGTTTTAATAAGAAATAGGTTCCTTGCTACATTCCAAACTCATTGAACTATTTTCTGATTATATTGTGGCTTCTGAAGGATATTATCTCACAGAAAGAAAATATGGTAACTAAGTAACAGGACTTCCTGGTTGGCTTTGCATTTTTTCCCCCTAGTATATTAGTGTCTTGGATCTAATTAAGGGATTTAAATCAAAGTACTACACTAAAATAGACCTTGGGTTGAGTCCTCATTCTGTTCCTTTTTCACTGGGTGTATTTGGACAAACTGTTTGAAATTCCATGAGCTTCAACTTATTTCTTCGTAGAAATTTATATATATGTCCAAATGTCTGTTTGGGTCCTCCCAAGGCTCTCAAGAAGGTTTATGAGATAATGCAACAAACAACCGTGACAAAGCTTAGCATAGGGCCAGGTGTAGTATAAAATGAGAATTACCTATATTAGAATTTCACACACACCCCCCGCCCGCCCCCCAGGACTCCAAAGGTGACTGGCAGAGTCCCAAGCCAGCAGTGCTGTCGGGTTAGCCGTAGAAGCACTCTACCACCAGAGAACTTCCCCTCTGCCCACTGGGCTCAGGGTTTCTAGCCACCATGCACACCAAGGAGCTACAACCAGTGTGATCTGAGAAAGCGCAAACACCAAATATTCCTCCAAGGGGATAGGGTGCCTCTCCAAGACTTTTTGTCCACCTTGACAATTCTCCTTCCCAGAGTCCTGGGGTCAGGGCAGAAAGCCAACCAGGAATTTTATCCCAGGCTGGGCTAAGAAAAGGTGGAAGAGTTGCCGGTAGTCAGACTACAGACAGTACAGGACTGGGGAGCTGAGGTGGGACTGCTGAGAGCTCCTCCCAGTGGTAGGTGTGAATTCTGTCCAGTGGGGCCAAAACTCTAGGCCTCACAGTTGCAGGAATTCAGGCAGAGCTGCAGATGGAATGACAGATGAGGGTGTGGCCACCCCCCCTCCGTTCCCCTCTAGAGGCCCAGCTGACTTGTGAGAGAATGGCGGGCTTACTAGGGGTGGCAGTGGACAGATCGCTGTGCTCTCTGGGAGGCCTCTGCCCACACTCCCGTTGTGCCAGCTGTCTCCTCCCTTTGTCCCCAGTCCCTGGAAAGTGGCTCGAGGTGGGGTGACATCACCTCCCCTTCTATATTCTTTCTCCCTGCCTGATCACCCTCCTTTGCTCTATTTGCCCCTTTCCTCCATTCCCTTCAAGTGATGGGCCTCCTTAGGTTCTCTGGCCTCCTATTTTCCTTGGGCCACTTGGTTCTTTCAATCTCCAGAGGCCCCAGCCAGTCACCAGCAGCCATCTGTTCCCGCCCAGAAAAGAGCAGATAGGCCTGGGGCCACACTTGCCCCCTCCCCTTCATCCAGCCGCAGCCTCTAGGAAGAAAGAATGGGGAGGGGCGAGCTCAAAACCAGAAGGAGCAGGAGATGGGGAAAGGTGTAGAAAGGAGGCAAAAGTGAGATGAGGACACAACCTCTTGGAGAAGAAAGGGATCACGAACAAGAGGCAATGAGAAAGAAATAAAAGCGACAGGAGCGCGGGGAAGGCTGGGGAGGCCCGTACCCGGGAGCCTCCTCTCCCCGGTGGACTCACCGACGTGGCAATGGCCATGGCCTCCTGCACCGCCTGCTTCAGGCAAGGCTTGGGCTTGCTGTCTTCAGCCTTGGGTGCCTGGCACCATGGCACGCGGCCTGAGGGCGAGGAGGCTGCCCCGGTTGTGGCGCTTGAGCAGGGGTCTCCGCCAAAGTTGGAGGAGAAAGAAACCCCACAAAACTTCCCAAATGGGAGGCAGCTTGGCCAGGCAGGAGGAGGAGCGGGGCGGGCCGGGGCGTCGCTGCGGGACCTCTTCCAAGGGGCGCGCTCTGCGGTCCCCACGGCCTGGCCGGGCTCTGGGCCGCCGGTCCTAGGCTGCGGGGGCCTCCCGGGCCAATGCGCGCCGATGGCGCCCTTCCGCGGCCGGCGACGCGGTGCGTACTGGGGCTGTGCTCGACGCCTCTCCGGGCCGCTCAGGACGGCCCCGGGGCCGAGAGGCGGTTGGGGCGGCTGGGCTGGCCGGGCGAGTCTGGGGCCAACCCTCCTGCCCGGGGGCTGCGCCTGAGCGAGCGCTCCCGAGCTGCAGCTGGCCCGCACGGCCCGGGGCCCTGGGGCGAGATCGGCTTCGAGGGAAAGGAGCGAGCGCCCGGCCGTCGGGCCCTTCTCAAACTCGCCCCAGTTGGCGAGAGGAGGCCAGGGTGGCGCCACAGGCCACGGGGAGCGCGGCCATCGGGCTGGCGGCGGTCTTCGGCCCGGACCTGGCGCCCGCGCGGACCGCACGCCCAGAGTTCCGGGGTCGCCGCGACGGCGGGCGGCCGG